CATCCTGAATATTCCAAACACCTCAGTTTATAATTTCTTGTTTGTGTCAGGGTTTTTTTCTTGTCCTGCAGAGTTAGTTATTTTTGCTTTTGCTGGTGCTTCTGGAGTCACTGAAAGCATAGTTGATTCAGTTTTCTTTATTTCAGGTGTTTTTACTTGTATTGTTTCAGTTTTTGGTGGTTCAGATGATTTTTCCATTCTTTTAGCATCAGCTTTCAACTGAGTTATGTTCTTAATCAACATGGCGGTCTTTTTATCTACCAAACTCGATGTGCTGTTTGGTTTTCGCAGTGATGTGCTGCTAGTTTTGATTTCTGCCGAAAATCGTTCTTTCATTACCTGATTCATGACTGGTTCTGTCAGTACAGTATATTTTGTTGGAACTTTATTGGGCTCAGCTTTGATTGATACGCTGTCTTTTTCTGCAGGTTTTGTACTTGCTCCCATTCTTGTTTGGTCTGATAATGGAGGATGTGTTGTGATTGATTCTGCTTTGTTAGCTGTCTCAATGGCATCAAGTATATTGGTTACTATGGGTTTAGTACTCGTATACTGCGTGATTGGTTTCTTTTCTTTTACCACAGGAGCAGTCTGATGTTGTTTTGCTTCCTGTGACGGTGAAGTAATTGTCACTGAAATAATGGTTCTTGATTTTATCGCATCCATCTTCTTATTAACAGTCATATTGTTTGTTTTACTATGATTAGGTTCAACTTTATCAACCTTAAGCTCTTCTTGTGGTGAAGCTACAGGCACTGTCATATCAGCTTCCATTAATGGTTGGATTTTTGATTCATTGACAAACATTTGTGGCCGATTTGTTGTGGTCCAGATTAATGGCTTGTAACACATTAAGTTCTTATCAAAGTAATGAACCAAATCACCTTCCATGTTTAATCCCTGGTTGATTAAACGTTGTTTATCCACTTTCTTTGAATCCAGTAATTCAAACTTGGCTACGATACGGACGTAATGTGGTATCCAATTCTTGGGCAAATGATCAATCAAATCATCGGTAAACTTTTTCATATCCAACGTCTTCTTAGGATCTTCTATTGCAAGTATTTCAATGTCTTGCTTGTATCCCATCTGAAAACACATATAGATTTAAATTAAATAATAAAAACAATTAAAATATACTATTACTGGTAGACTATAGGCAACACATCGTTTACTGGTGAACTTTGATGCTATGTACTCCACTTCTTCCGATGTAACAAGTTTATTCATCCAGGATTTATCAAGGTGCTTTTTAAGTGGACGTAAGTACAGCTTTTCATCAATTGTTAATATTTCCCCTGCTGTAATAGCCATATCACCTCTCTAGGATTGAAATAATTAGATATAAAAATATAAAATGGCGGAGTATCCGTACTTTGAAAATGTTTTGGATTGTTTTCACATTTGGAGGTAAATTTTCAGTTTCCGTCCAGAGTTTGATTAACATTCCAGGTTCACCTGAAATAAATAATTAATCCTATTGTTTTATATTTATTTATTGTCATACCATATTCACTCAATTGACATAATCCATTTGCACTGCGAACGGGAATGTTTTCCTTTCCAAATACTTTGATTACATAATGTGGGAATACAAAACTAGGAATTAGTTTTGGCCGGAAACCAAGTACTCCTATCTTTCCTTCCAGGTTAACTAAACAAAAACACAATTATTTGATGTATAAATACTAATAATTGTATTATAATTACTTAAATCAATGTCTTCTTGTGAAACGTCATGCACTTCATACATTTTAGTCCCAAATCTGTCCACAAACTCTTGCCAATAATCACTTTCCAGTCCAGTACCGTACATCGCCCTAACAGGGTGAAATGTCTCTATTGGACTCACAGGACTCAGAAGAAGTTGCTTACACATGCTGCCTGAGTATTGTCCCACAGTGCAATTGTAAACGTAACACTCCCGGAAGTAATCCGAGGCGGAAAACTTGGATCGTAGTACGGTAGATACGCCATTTGTAATGGAGGGACCAATGCCCAAAATCATGCCGGATGTTTCATGTAATGGCGTCGGATTGTAAATCTTTTCTGATGCGTTCAAATCAAGCATCATTGCGGTAGCACTCGCATTATATAAAAATCTGTAAGTAAACAAATGCTTTGAATCTTTTTAAAACATAAATTTGTGTTATTTATACTTCTCGTGTGTAATAACAATCGGTTTTTTAAACACGGTATCTTCTGGTGCGAACATATACAGAAGAGGATCGTCATGATGCACTTGGACAAAAACTTCCGGTAAATCATTGTATTCCTTTAATAATTCTTCTTCCAAAACACGAAATTCTGGTTGTTTTGCCTTGTGCCTCATTTGAAAGATTTTAATACCTTCAAAGTTTTTATAAACGTCTCCAAAAGCTAAAATTATTTAATTTAAATTATGTTTATTAAACTTTTAAAAATCAAAAGTTACCATGCATTAATTCATCATCAAAAATTATTCCTGTGCATCCTGATTGTTTGATAGCCTTTGTCAAACCTTTATTACGTAGCTCAGTGCTTATAAGTGTCGTGATGATGCCGATGTTGGCCATGCCAAGAACAATGGCGACCATTTCAGGGCTATTCAGCGCAAACATCGCAACGACATCTCCTTTTTGAAAACCGTACTTTTGCATTAAACGAGAGGTCCTGTTGGCGTAACTTGCTACATCCTTATACTTCCAGTTTTGATCATGTAACTGTAACATTAGCTTATCTGGATGTTTCTTCTCTTGTTGTTGAAAAACTTTAGATAGGGTTAAGTTGTTGTTTTTGATACGTTTGGATAGCAGCCAACATTTTGAATACCTCCATAAGAACCTTAAATTAAATCAATTTTTATTATTCATTTTTATATTGTAATGATGTGTAATTACGTTGAATCTCTGCTAAATGTCTTTGATAGAACATCCAGATCTTTGGAATGATATAGGAACAATGGAACAGCTCCAAACAGCATGTATAATTTCCCGAAGAACGCAGACATCAAACCAATTGCTGTTCCCGACACGATCCAACCAAACTTTTTACTTGTAATGTCCAATTGTGTTTCTGGTATTTTTGTAACCATTTTTGGCCCTTCTTTTGTAAGCTCAGATGGGATTGGTTTTAGTTGTTCCAGTTGATTTTCTTGCTTTTTGGGAACAGGAGGTGGAGGTGGTTTAATTGGTGGTGGTCCGGGTTGCTTTTGAGGCTCTGGTGGTTGAAACTGTGAGGAAGAACTTTCCAGTCGCCAGGATGCCCTTTTGATGTGTTTTACAAAAGTGAATTTTTGTTGTGATGTTGGGTTCCATGCGTGTATTACGGAATGAGAACGGTGGATAAGGACATTTTGGTGACTGAATACTTGTGGTAGTGTAAGGATGGTATGACTGGTATATTTATAAAATGACCGCAGGAACATTTTTAAGAATAGGGAAACCTATTGCTTGTGATGCAAATCCAGTTTGATTAGATTAGTCGCTTTTGGGAGAATTCTGACACATTCCTTGAAACTCTATAGGTATTATTTATACATAGATGGTTATGTTTCCTAATTTTTATTCTAGGCGTTGGATGTTGTTACCATTTGAATTTTATATGTATGTTATGATTTTATAGCAATACCGATTAAATATTACCATTTTTTGTTATTTTATTACGTTGTAATACAGTTTAAGATTGTTTGTCGCAAGCAAAATGTTGTTTTTTTCTCCTTGTTTCAACCCGACGACACGAAACCAACCCACAAGACACTAATCGCCGCTGTACATATTTTTACTAATGTTCACAAATGCTACACCTTGGTTTTTATTTATTTAATAGTAGATGGTAAATGTTTATATGTTGGTGGTGTAAATATCAAGTATGACTTAATTATTTCTTTGCAGCAAAACACCAAAATCGAAATGAAGGCAGTTAAGAAAAACTTGGAGAACACCGAGTGTGAGTTGGAGAAACATGAAGATGAGTGCAGTAAACTTCGATTGTCTGTGGATTCCGAACATCAAACGAATAGCTCCTTGCGGCAGGTGATTACTAATCTGGAGAAGGACCTTGACGAGGAGAAGAGGAATAGTTTGAATGTACAACGCACGTTGACGAGGGTCACAGCGGAGAAAAACACTGCATTGTTGAGGAATGCTGAAATATCACAACAGATGGAAATTGCTAAGCAAGAAACACGGCGACAGGAAAGCGAAATGAATGATTTGCTAAATAAAATTAACCAATTAGAAGATGATAATAATAAATACAAAGAGAAGGAAACCAAGGGCGTGGAGCAAGAACTACGCAACACGGTGACGATTTTAGAAGAACAGTTAGCTGATAAAAATAAGGTTTTTATATAAACAGTGAATTTTTTGTTTATTTTGAGTAATAAATTGTTGTGTTTATTGTAGAATATAAAGACACTTCAATTACGCCTAGCGGACATGAAGAAAACGCTACAACAAGAACTGCGCACCACGAATCACTCCAGCGCATTCTTCGACAGCAACGAGTCAGCGGCAATTTTAACTCCTAGTCAAATTACAACGCGTAATCACCAATATACAGGACTGCGCAAGGACGACGACGACGTAAACTTCACATACCTCAAGCACGTTATCATCAAGTTTCTCACCAGCCGTGAGTACGAGGCGCAGCATTTAACCCGCGCCGTCGCCACGCTGCTGAAGTTTTCGCCCGAAGAGGAGAAGCTGCTCAATGACACGCTGGAGTGGAAAATGTCGTGGTTCGGCTCGCGGCCGAAAGTCGGTAAGGGTCAAACGTCCAAAGGCTTGCCACGCAGCTGATGGTTACTCTAATAATTACATGAATGAATTGAAACAATTGCACTCTCTGATTCGGAATCAATTCGGCCAAAGACACATCACGCAAATGATGGGATTTACATTCGAGAATAAGTTTTACTCATGCAGCTTTGTTTTCAGATGGTAAATAATCTAGTAGGGCGAGGAATCTAGATGAATAGTACCTTGTACCGAGAGGGGCCGGATGCCATGCCGCAGGTTTGTTTCTCAGAGAATATCTAACATTAACATAATAGAAAATTGACGAATTGACGAATTACGGATGATAAAATTGGTAATGGTTGATGAGATTTTAACGAAACCTTGGTGATGCGGGTCCCCTCTCTGATTTCCACTTTTCTACCACATTTTTAAAACGTACGATACAGTTTAACAACTTCTCAATATGACTGGGATGCTTGTGAGGCACGTCACAATTCCATATTCCTAAATTTGGGTACGAACATTCCTGAAAATTCAATTCAAATCGTTTGTAATAGTATTAAAGCTCTAGACGACCCCATGTAGTTGATTCCAACTGTTTCCTACGAATTGTTACTAGGTATTTTCGGTTTTATTAACTTTTATCAAGTATATACTTGTATTTTTATAGCGCGTCAAATGAGTAAGCAGATTTTGCATCTAATTAAGTTCATCTAGTTTGTACATACTTTTGTTTTCGACCTTCTGGGCAATATTTGTACATACAGTTATGTTAAGACGACAATGCTAGAGTCGTGAGTTTTCGTTTGACTAGTTGTGGTGTTCTAAATTCAATTAACCGAATTTGTAATCACGTGAAACTGCCAATTAATAAGTTGTAAGCATAATGCCGTCGGTTTTGGCTAGAGTTTCATTTTCACGATGATTATGATTGCTATCTTGTTGTCTATTTATTATATTTATTTTCGAAAATAAATGCAAAATGTGTAACGAAACCGCGTGAGTTAATTTAATCAATGCATGATTTACATCCTGAATATTCCAAACACCTCAGTTTATAATTTCTTGTTTGTGTCAGGGTTTTTTTCTTGTCCTGCAGAGTTAGTTATTTTTGCTTTTGCTGGTGCTTCTGGAGTCACTGACAGCACAGTTGATTCAGTTTTCTTTATTTCAGGTTGTTTTGCTTGTATTGTTTCAGTTTTCTGTGGTTCTGATGATTTTTCGATACTTTTAGCATCAGCTTTCAACTGAGTTATGTTCTTAATCAACATGGCGGTCTTCTTATCTACTAAACTCGATGTGCTGTTTGGTTTTCGTAGTGATGTGCTGCTTGTTTTGGTTTCTGCAGAAAATCGTTCTTTCAATACCTTATTCATGACTGGTTCTGTCAGTACAGTATATTTTGTTGGAACTTTATTAGGTTCAACTTTGATTGATACGCTGTCTTTTTCTGCAGGCTTAGTACTTGCTCCCATTCTTGTTTGATCTGATAATGGAGGATGTGTTGTGATTGATTCTGCTTTGTTAGCTGTCTCAATGGCATCAAGTATATTGGTTACTATGGGTTTAGTACTTGTATAATGTGTGATTGGTTTCTTTTCTTTTACTAGAGGAGCAGTCTGATGTTTTGCTTCCTGTGATGGTGAAGTAATTGTCACTGAAATAATGGTTCTTGATTTTATCGCATCCATTTTCTTATTAACAGTCATATTGTTTGTTTTACTTTGAGTAGCTTCCACCTTATCAACCTTGAGTTCTTCTTGTGGGGAAGCCACAGGTACTGTCATATCAGCTTCCATTAATGGTTGGATTTTTGATTCGTTGACAAACATTTGTGGCCGATTTGTTGTGGTCCAGATTAATGGCTTGTAACACATTAAGTTTTTATCAAAGTAATGAACCAAATCACCTTCCATGTTTAATCCCTGGTTAATTAAACGTTGTTTATCCACTTTTTTTGAATCTAGTAATTCAAACTTGGCTACGATTCGGACATAATGTGGTATCCAGTTCTTGGGCAAATGGTCAATCAGATCATCTGTAAACTTTTTCATATCCAACGTCTTCTTAGGATCTTCTATTGCAAGTATTTCAATGTCTTGCTTGTATCCCATCTGAAATAAACATATGGATTTAAGTTCAATAATAAAAACAGTTAAAATGTATTATTACTGGTAGACTATACGCAACACATCGTTTACTAGTAAACTTTGATGCTATGTACTCCACTTCTTCAGATGTAACGAGTTTATTCATCCAGGATTTATCAAGATGCTTTTTAAGTGGACGTAGATATAGTTTTTCATCAATTGTTATGATTTCTCCTGTTGTAATAGCCATATCACCTCTCTAAGATTGAAAGAATTAGATATAAAAATATAAAATGGCGGAGTTAAAAGATTTACTTTGAAAATGTTTTGGATTGTTTTTACATTTGGAGGTAAATTTTCAGTTTCCGTCCATAGTTTGATTAACATCCCAGGCTTACCTAAAATAAATAATCAATTAAATTGTTTCCTATTTATGAAATGTCTTACCATATTCACTCATTTGACATAATCCATTAGCACTGCGAACGGGAATGTTTTCCTTCCCAAATACTTTGATAACATAATGTGGGAATACAAAACTAGGAATTAGTTTTGGCCGGAAACCAAGTACTCCTATTTTGCCCTCAAAGTTAACTAAACAAAAATAAAATTTATTTTTTTAAAGGTTATTAATAATTGTTTATAATTACTTAAATCAATGTCTTCCTGTGAAACATCATGCACCTCATACATTTTCGTCCCAAATCTGTCCACAAACTCCTGCCAATAATCACTTTCCAATCCAGTACCATACATTGCTCTCACAGGGTGAAATGTTTCTATTGGACTCACAGGACTCAATAGAAGTTGCTTGCACATGCTTCCTGAATATTGCCCCACTGTACAATTGTAAACGTAACACTCCCGGAAATAATCCGAGGCGGAAAACTTGGAGCGCAGTACAGTGGATACGCCATTTGTAATTGAGGGACCAATACCCAAAATCATTCCGGATGTTTCATGTAATGGCGTTGGATTGTAAATCTTTTCAGAAGCGTTTAGATCAAGCATCATTGCGGTGGCACTTGCATTATATAAAAATCTGTAAGTATATACATTTAAAGATTTTTAAAATATAAATTTGTGTTAGGCATACTTTTCATGTGTGATGACAATTGGTTTTTAAAAACGGTGTCTTCCGGTGCGAACATATACAGAAGAGGATCGTCATGATGCACTTGGACAAAAACTTCCGGTAAATCGTTGTATTCCTTTAATAATTCTTCTTCCAACACACGAAATTCTGGTTGTTTGGCTTTGTGCCTCATTTGAAAGATTTTAATGCCTTCAAAGTTTTTATAAACGTCACCAAAAGCTATTAAAATAATTCATTTAAATTATTTTTGTTACATTTTTAGAACTAAATGTTACCATGCATTAATTCGTCATCAAAAATAATTCCCGTGCATCCCGATTGTTTGATAGCCTTTGTTAAACCTTTATTACGTAGCTCTGTACTTATAAGTGTTGTTATAATGCCGATGTTAGCCATGCCAAGAACAATGGCGACCATTTCAGGGCTATTCAACGCAAACATCGCAACGACATCTCCTTTTTGAAAACCGTACTTCTGCATTAAGCGTGATGTCCTGTTGGCGTAACTCGCTACATCTTTATACTTCCAGTTTTGATCATGCAACTGTAACATTAGTTTATCTGGATGTTTCTTCTCTTGTTGTTGGAAGACTTTAGACAAGGTTAAGTTGTTGTTTTTGATACGTTTGGATAGCAGCCAACATTTGGAATACCTCCATAGGAACCTTAAATGAAATCAATGATTATTATTCATTTTATATTGTAATGATGTGTAATTACGTTGAGTCTCTGCTAAATGTTTTGATATCACATCCAGATCTTTTGAATGATATAGAAACAATGGAACAGCTCCAAAGAGCATGTATAACTTCCCGAAGAACGCGGACATTAAACCAATCGCAGTTCCGGACACGATCCAACCAAATTTTTACTTGTGATGTCCAATTGTGTTTCGGATACTTTTGTGACCATTTTGGCCCTTCTTTGTAAGCTCAGATGGGATTGGTTTCAGTTGTTCCAGTTGATTTTCTTGCTTTTGGGAACAGGAGATGGCGGGGGTATAATTGGAGGTGGCCCGGATTGCTTTTGTGGCTCCGGTGGTTGAAACTGTGAAGAAGAACTTTCCATTCGCCAGGATGTCCTTTTGATGTGTTTTACAAAAGTGAATTTTTGTTGTGATGTTGGGTTCCATGCGTGTATTACGGAATGAGAACGATGGATAAGGACATTTTGGTGACTGAATACTTGTGGTAGTGTAAGGATGGTATGACTGGTATATTTATAAAATGACCGCAGGAACATTTTTAAGGATTAAGAAACACTATTTTAGATTTATATGAATTCTAGTTCGAATTTTAAAATTCGAATGAGCGAAATATATGTGACACATAAATTTCAATACAAAATGTGAGCAATGTCAGTAAAACCTTTAGCAAATGTTTTTTTTTTAATAATCGTTGTTATGATTACTTAGTGTAAATACAAATCAACAAGTATGGATTTTGTTTATAAAAAATTAACAGTGGTCCATAAGCCAAACTTAATTAATATTTTTAAATTCTGAATGAAATCATTAGTCAAACTGCAAAAATGTATTAAAATAATTTATTAACAAAATTTTGGTGGAGGCGCCTTAAGCACCAAGCACAAGCTCCACCCAGTGACTAAAGACTGTGGCTAATGTATTAAGTTACGGCCTTTGCCGTCCGTGTTTAAAATACCACTCTTTGAATCTCAAAACCGTGTAAAACTGGCGCTGTATAGGTGCAAGTAGAAAAAACAATTTATTAATAAAATAATTTAATAATTATTACTTTAAAATATTTAATTTTTATAATTTTGGCGGAGGCGCCTGGCGAAGTTCGTTAAAAATTATTATCCAAAGTAGAATATATATAATTATTTAAGTTATTTATGCGCACGACACCGTACCATAACTTCCGCGTTAGTAAGTATTCCCGTTAATTCTACTTCCGCTCTCTTCAAAATATATTTCCGCAAAACTTTGCATTGTTTAGCAAATGATCACTCAAATGCAGCAAACAACCTGCTTAAATATCAAACGTTAAAATAAAAATAAATTATATCATAACGCATTATACATATCTACTAAACTAAAAACCAACTAATTTAGAAATTAATTAGTGTTATATTTTGGCACAGAATAACATGAACAAGTTTTCAACACAGTTAAATCACGCCGGCAATTATCAGTGACTTTTTTAACGAGACCATACAAATACAACATTGTAGATTATTAAAATAACAAGTGATAGTCGAACTCTTGGTGGAAGCAGCAAAGCGCGACTGAATCGTCGCAACTTGTTTGAAGTTTGTTGGCGGTGGCAGTCTGGCGTCGAATCGCGTGGACGACGAAAGCGCGGCCAGTTTGCGAGCGGCTAGTTCAGCATAAATAAACCTAAAATAAACTAAACCAAAAAGAATCTAAGAAAAATGTTCATTTACCGGTTGTAATTCATTCGAAACGCAGACAAAAGTGTTTATCAATAAAGAGAAGAGTGCAATAAAGTTGTGAGGTGAAATAAACCAAGTTGGTTTTATTGCTGTTTTGTTGTGAGTTACTTTTATGAGAGTTCAGACAGTCGAGCACGAGTTCACTAGTTGTTATATGGAATTTTTTAATATTAATGAGTTTTTGTTTGACATTTTCGTTGGTTTTCGCTGAATATTGAGCGCAAAGTTGCAATTATGGCTTCGAATGGGAATTCCGTCATTGACAAGGTAATAAATTTTGAATTGTATGTTATTATTTGTTGTATTACACATGAACACAAGTGAAATATTAAATTTGACGTTTTAAACAAATTAAAATAGTAAAAATTGATTAGTTTTGCATTGTTTTTAAATGATTAATAATAAACTTAGAATTAGTTACGTGTTTACTGATTCTTACTCAAAAAAATTGGAAATTCATTCTGTGACCTTCATTTTTTATTGCTAAAGGTTAAACTTTTGTTCGATACATCTCTATACATCTGCAAATCAATGAATTTTGTATTTTGTATTTTAAATATTTAATAAATTAAATTTTAAACGCAAATTTTGCATCAATAGATATATTAAGACGTTTAGAAATGAAGAAATATTATGTTGCAACAAATGCGTTGGTTTAAATCGCAATTTTGCATTAATAAATAGCAGAAATAATGAAACAATGATTGAAGATACTGCAGCATTTTGTACAACCTCCATTAATTTCCTTTTAGAGTACATCTTAAGCAATTTCACGTCTAAAAGCAGAAATTCATATATTATTAAAGTAAAATAATTATTATGCAATTAATTGAACATCATCGCAATGCATTTCAATGCATAGAATATAAAATCAAAATATTATATGTAATAATTTGATTTTTTCAAATTTCTAACCTAAATATTAACGAACGTAGTAAATCCCAAAAATTGCACCTCTGTATTGAGCAAGTAGCAGGTCTGCAACCCCTAATACACCCTTGCAACTCTGGTTTCTCACTTAAATTCAATATTATACAACTTTTCTTACAAAACAAGGAGAAAATACTTTTAAATTGAATATTTATTCTAAAAAGAAAATAACAACTTGTTATGACAACAAGCGCATAATTTTTTAAAAAGAAAGCCATGAATGCAATACTTTTATTGCGAAACATAAAAGCAATGCAGGCGTAGATAATTACAAAATTACCACCATCACCATCAATTAAATTCAAAGAATTGTTTAATTGCCGCACGTACGTATCTACGTAATTTAAGAATATTCATAAACATAAAAATCAAATATCATGCATTATATAGGTTCCAAGTACAAGTGTTAAAGATAATTATAATCGATAATCAACATATCCTAAACATATCATGTTTTATTACAGTTTGTAAAACAATATGGCGCTTTTAAACAAGTTTTCTGTTTCTGCTAATGTTCTATTTATGTGCAGTCATGTACTCTGGCAATTTAACGACACTTAGCACTTTGAACACGCGTAATTCGAAGTGGACAACAACCGGAACGAAAACCGAAACAGTTTCTTTCTTGTGTCACTGTTATTAGCAAGAAAAAACATAATAAATACCGGGATATCACAGTATGTGTAACTGGATATGCTTGTAATTTAAATTTGAAAACATCGTTTAGAATTTTCATTGTTTCGATGTGGATGGGTCGCGATGGTCGTGATTATCGTGTTTGGCGGAAACAATCGCGATGAAAATGTGTGTTTTTATGTCTACTGCATGTGGTTATTGAGTGCTTTCGTTACTAATACGAAAGTTGTGAATGACATTCATTACGAAGTGCACTGACCTAATTTTTATGGATTTTTTATTAATAATTGGCATTTTAGTCTCTTTTTATACAAAATAAATACCTGCGAAATAATTTATTTATAAATTTATAGTTATTTATGTAATGAGGCATTGAATTATAAATAAATTGAAGTTTTTTGTATTTTTTAACATCTGTTAACATCTATTTATCTAAGAATAAATTTTGATTCTATGAATATCAAATGAAAAATGCAGGAATTAAAAAGAAAACAACGGAACTAAATAAAAATATATTTCGGTCCACTAACCCACATTACGCACGCATTCATTCTTCATCGTCCGCGGTAATGTATGACTGATTAACAAGTTGTAAATCGGCGCCGGTTGTCGGCGTGCGGTAGAAGTGAAACAGTCGAGCGTCGGCAAGTCAGCCGCAACAACGCGAAACAGAAAACAATAAAAAAGAACTTTTTAAGTCGGAAAGTTAAAAGCAAATTGACGTCGTCTTCGCGAGTATACAGAAATTAATCTTGTGACCACCAGTGAGTAAACTTAAAGAGTGTGTATTTGTGTTTGTGTTTTATAAATAAATTTTTTCCACACCAAAAAATGTGTGTAAGTAAACAGTTCAAAAGAGTAATTTTAGTTTGTGATAAATTTAAATTTTAAAAGATTCGTTTATGCGAGTTACACAACAAAAACAGTTTTTTGTGGAATTGTGGCTGCAATTGCAGGAATCTAAATGATCTGAAGAGTATATTTATGCGTAGAAGTTACGCAGAAGAACAATGAAGCGGGCGGATGTAAGAAACGCGAAGAATTGCGATTCGTTTGTAGGAAAAGTCTAATCAGACGTTTACAAGCTGCTAGTGACGAATTACTTTGGCGATTATTGTAATTACCTTGCAGAACGAACAATAATACAATGTCTAGTGATTAAATAAACTGTGTGAATAAAGAAAATCGTGATAAAAGATGATTTTTTAATTGACAAGAAAATTTTGCAGGAAAAACAGTATTATAACTTGTTTATTAATGAAATTTTTAATATATTTTGGTAATAATTGATTTATTACGGCAAATTCTAATAGAATTAAAAAAAAAAAAAAGTTAAAACATCCGCCATTTTAAAAATAACCTCATTTTTATCATAGATAATAAAAGAAACTTCTTCAAGGCTAAAATGTGCAATTTTCCAGTGTCGTTTCTTCTATTCTTTCCCAATTATATTGCACTTTCGAATAATTACATGATTCTAATCTATTTCTTTGTTACGTATGACATATCCATTAAAACTCCATCAACTTTATAAACTTACAAGAATTACATGACGATAGGTTATGTTATCACCATTATGACGATTATTAACCAAAACCATCAAATGACACATGACAATGTCTGCGCATGCGCACATTTGAATATAACCCAATCGCGCCATAACCATACTTTTATTTAATTTATATTTAGCACCATAAAAAGAAATCTTAAAATAGTTCATGGTCAAAATACACAAGCAAATTATATATTTATATTATGCAACATATTTTTATAGCCTATAAATGGTCTCTTATTCAATCACGGACGATTATTATTATTAATAACACATGTTATATAACCGCATAACAATTTTCAACTTTCCATACAGTTCATCTGGACGCAGACAGCTTAATTCATTACCTATTAACCATATAGAATTATTATTCATAACGAGATTATAGTGGAGTTAATTTATGCAACTAATGTTTTTAATTTTATGTTTGCATCTTGAGTTATAAGCGAACTACCGTTTTTCTAGCGCAACGCGACTCTAATTTGCAGCGTGTAAATTTAATCCTGCGGAATCCATTATTCGGCGGTCTTCTGCTCTGATTATACGAAGAATTTTTAAACATTCCGGCGCTTCTGAAGCGCTTGATTGTCAAGTTACACGTAACGGTGTTCTGCCGCGTGCGATGTTCGTTACTGCCGTGTTTTTTTAATTGCTGCTTAATTGTTAATTGTTATAAAATACGCACTCGCTATGCTTGCTTACTTCCTGGTCACAATTGCAATGCAGAATCGCAGATTTCGTAATTATTAATAAATGCGCAAGCGCTCAACGCAAACGCTTTGAATCAGAGCATCAAATAATTATTTTTATATTTATTTATCGCGCAGATTAAATTATAAATTCAATTATATCTGATTTTGAGTTTTAATTGTTTTCATCTCGTTGATTAACTAGTTTGTGTTGATTAATGATGATTTGTTGTGATTTATGTCAGTAAATTATGATTTTATTTGCTTTTGAAGACGAGTAAAGAATAAAAAACAAGTTTTTCAAGTTTGTGTTATTTTTTAGTTATTTTCCGACAGTGGTTTTGCTTTTAAATCAAATGTTTTGCTACATAGGAGATTTTTCGTAGACAGTTTGGTCAATTTGTAGAAAGCTGTTGATTTTGTGTGTACCTGCTTAGAAGCCTTTGGGTTATTAGCAATATTTTTAGAGAAAGTCGGAAAGTACTTTCAACTTCAACGCTCTTGACTCTTGTACTCGTAACTCTTGTAAAACTGTTGTCTATGAAACCACTTGTGGAATTAATTAGAAATTATTAGTGTTACACCGAAATATGTAATCTGTTACGGATTTGTTAATATACAATTTTTAATTTAAAGAATAAATAACATAAAATTCACATGTGTTGTTGGTGTATATTGGGTTGCCTATGTTAAAACTCAACTATAAAGTTATTTCATGTAACAATTAAAACGAATGTCATTAAAAAACACGTAATAACACATACTTTTATTGCAATTTCATTTATCTTATCTATTACATATATCACCCTGAAAATATTTGTTAATCTATTTGTAATCACACATAAAATTGACTCAATTCCATAGTTTATCCAGGATTAACATAAAAATACGGTACATAGTACAAATTGTCGTTATTAACAATTATTACATGGACACAGAAATCATTAATATAATCTAGTTAATCTGTTATCCATCCTGATAACAGAAAAGTAATTACACCAGCTGCTAAAATGTGTTACAATAGAACATAACCTCTACCTTGACAGAAGTTGAGCATTGAAAGAGTTGACAAAATTAACTTAAAGCTGACCCACTTTCGGCAATCGTTTTGCGGCTCGTTTCAATTCTGAAGAAGCGGATTTTCTCATCCGATAACTTCCTCCGCATTCACATGTCGCTGTGGCATCAGCATCAAATCAACGCATAATTGCATTCCATATGCATGATCTGCGCACTGCGCCTCCGCCGTGAAAGGCAGCATTGATTATTTATTTATGAAAGAATACAAACAAAAAAGAGCAACAATTGGGCAATAAAGAATCGTGTTTCTGTGTCAGCGCACTATTTTACTATTTTTGCATCACTGACAAAGCGCATTTTCATTTTGATTGAACATTTAAACTCGTCAAAAGTAGAAAGAGGTTAAGATCTTTAGAAAGGACCTTTCTTTGATTAAAATCAACTAGAAAACGAAGTAAATTAAGCGGAACCATGCAAGGTAATAAAATTAAGGAGCAATAATTAATTTTATGTTGTTTTAAATGACAATCTGACGTTTTGCAATCGATTTTCCATTAAAATATTCAAATATTGATGGAAATATTGCGTGTGTGCAGGTTCACGGCCGAAATGAAGACGACCCGGAGGTGGGAAAGTTGCCCGACGAGGACGTCGACAGCAGACAACCGGCGGACGGCGCTGCCGCCTCCATTGGCGGCGGGGATCCGCAGCAGCCGGCCGCCACCACGAAGGCGGGAGTCGCGCATCGACAGCGGCGGACGCGCCAGCACCGCTACAAGTCGCGCCCGCTGCGCGTCCTAGTTCGTCGCCTGCTCGTCATGAGTGCGGTCGGTGCGGTCGTGGCCGCGTTCGGCGCCGGCGTTTGGTACTTCTTGGGCTGGCAATCCGTGGTGCAGCTGGTGCTTGTCGCGATTGTTGCATATCTCGCCACTGGGAAATACAAATGGTTCGTGGTTGCTATCAAAACGACTCCACGGGATCTTCAGTAAGTAAAAATTCACTTATTTCATAAAAAAACTTAAAAAATTTAAAAATCAACTTGAAAAATAATTGATTTTTTGATATATTTAGAGATAATATGAAATCAAAGTTCATATTTTGACGAATATGAACTTTGTGATATTTTCTATTCTATTGACTATTGATATTAATACGTAATGCTTACGCGCGCACATTTCTTTATACGTGGAATTTTAACTAAGTGGTTTTTTTTTTGATTAATAGTAAATTGTTAAGTTTGCATTGTGCGTGGTTTCGTCGATTTGCGTTTATTTGTCAACCGTCAATGCTAGTTACAAATCAAAACAACAAATTTATACACGTGCGATAGATGTACATGTATTGCGTGTTACAATTTACAATTTAACGCTCATTGATTTACAAATCGACTTTTGTTGAATATAATTCATCCAAGTCACGCACAATCAACAAATTTCATAGGTAGTCCCATGCTCATCGATTATATATTTTTATTTTCGTTAGAAGTTTACCGAAACAACTAAAAAACGCTTTCTTAGTTTTACTCGTTGAGTTTTAAGTGAAAACAAAACATAATGAATGCGTAATTCTCGCAACCGCATTTAAAACAAGTTTTTCGGGTTGTTGCTGGTGGGTTTACAACATGGGCGATGAATAACAGCTTCAGACTACTTTAATAAAATAATTAAAATTTGGTTATCTTTGATTACTTGTAAATAATTAATGAATAAGCATTGTTATTCATTCGCTACGGGTTTTTATTTTATTGTGTTTGTTTGGGTTGGGTGCAAACATCAATTATCAATTGATGAGGAAGTTTTATAATAATAGCACGCGTTTGATCCGCGTTCGCGACCTTCTACCTACGCAACATTCCCGACCTTTAACATTAATTGTCACCAGACACACGTAGGAACATTATAGTCTCATTTAGGCCTTTTGTCTGTTCGTGAGTAGACGTTTCTATTGTGATTGTGAATATTTTAATGTATTTACCACTTGGAAACATTATTTCTAATTATGTTTGTAATGATGAGGTGACAATAGGTATCTAATTGATTTTGAATATAAACGTTAAAATATGGAAATTTTCTATACATAGATATCTGATTGAAATGATTCACTTGATAAATTTCACCAATTTTCTAATGTAATTTGTGGCGGTAGTGAAAATAAGCGATTGCATTTTGCTTGGCGATTGAGGTGAAAGTCGCTAGTCACTGTTACTCGTGGTTTTTCATTTCATTAACGTTGAACTCAAATCTGTGTTCAATGGCAATGAAATAAAGTAAATTATGCTTAAAATCAAGAAATGTAATTTAAACAAATAATTTTATTATTTTCTAAGTTGAATACGTAATCCATGGTTTATAAAATGTATTTATTAAAATAATTTTGTGATTTTCTTGGATTTTACAATTTTGTATGCGAGTTTTACATGTTTCGCCCTGTGGGCATCATCAGAAACAAATAATTATTAGTCTAATGCGGCTTTAATGTTAATGGGATATTACCAATATTCAAATAAAACTATTTTTCATTAAGTTTTATCTATTTTAGAGCCGTTTTAACTTAAAAGAGGCGAAAATTAACGTATATTATGAAAATAGCGCTCCTTGACCTTGACAGAGGACAATTTAATCATAAAAACTCAAAAATTTGTTTAATGATGATTTTTCTTAAAACTTTTGAACTACCTTCTTACAACTATCAAAATTATATAATTTAGTGATTTTATATGATTAAAGATTAGAATAAGCCTAAATATGATGAAATATTTGATAATACTGATGATTCCAGAGCACTTTATGGATATATAAGACTGCTGATACAAATCAAAGGATTCCAACGCAAGGACATAATCCTTGCTGACATATTCAAGCAGCACGTGAAGAAACACCCGAACAAAACCTGCATCATTTACGACGATCAAGAATGGACGTTTTCCGAAGTAGAAGAGTACAGTAACAAAATAGCGAATGTCTTCAAGTCGCACGGGTACAAGAAAGGCGATGTTGTCGCACTCTTTTTGGACAACAAGCCCGAATTTATCTGCACGTGGTTGGGTCTGTCCAAACTGGGTGTTATTGTACCTCTCATTAATACAAATCAACGATTGGCGTCGTTGGTCCATTCAATCACAATTGCTAAGAGTCAGGCGGTTGTTTTCGGTGCAGAATTATCTGAAGGTAAAGTAATATAGTTATTAATTAATAAAAGTGTTATATTAATTTATTTGTGTGTTTTTTTATAGCTGTGCGTGATGTATTGGATAAAATTGAATCAAAAGTCGCGCTTTACGAGTTGACTGGTTTAAGGGAACAACCAAAGTCTTTGCATCCAAGTTTCCGTAACGTGAATGGCCTTCTGGCTGAAGCTAATCCTACTCCACCGCAGAATACGGAAAAAGTTGGGTATTATGATAAACTGGTGTATATTTACACTTCTGGCACGACAGGATTACCAAAAGCTGCAGTTATTACCAATTCAAGGTATGAAAAACTAATTTTCATTAGTATTTACTTCTTTTAATGTTTTTTATACTCTAGGTACATTTTTATCGCTGCTGCTATCCATTGGCTCGCCCGTTTTAAGGATTCCGACCGTTTCTACACACCACTTCCACTTTATCACACAGCAGGTGGCTGCATGTCCACTGGTCAGATGCTTCTGTACGGCAGTACGCTCGTGATAAGGAAGAAATTCTCCGCGTCTTCCTTCTTCCCAGACATTCGCAAATATGACTGCACTGTTGCGCAATACATTGGTGAAATGTGTCGCTATGTACTCGCAGTTAAACCCAACGAGGAGGACGGTAATCACAAATTGCGTTTGATTTTTGGAAATGGTCTACGTCCGCAAATCTGGGAGGAATTTGTTCAAAGATTTAACATTCCACGCGTTGCTGAATTCTACGGAGCGACTGAAGGCAATGCGAATATTGTCAATGTGGATAACACTGTTGGTGCGATAGGTTTTATCTCAAGGATTATTCCAGCTGTGTATCCTATAAGTATCATTAAAGTGGATCCTGTGACTGGTGAACCAACAAGAGACGCGAATGGGTTGTGTCAGTTGTGTAAACCTGATGAACCTGGGGTTTTTGTTGGGAAAATTGTACCTGGAAACGAATCGAGAGCATTCCTTGGATATGTCGACAAGGCAGCTTCGCAGAAGAAAATTGTGCATGATGTATTCGCTCGAGGAGATTCCGCTTTCTTGTCAGGGGATATTTTGGTAGCGGATGAGTTAGGCAACTTGTTCTTCAAGGATCGTACTGGGGATACTTTCAGGTGGAAAGGAGAAAATGTTTCTACTTCGGAAGTTGAAGGCGTGCTTAGCAACATTGCAGAGTATAAAGATGTCGTTGTGTATGGAGTTGAGGTAAATTTAAACATAATTTAACATTAAATGTAAAACTTAACACTATTAATATCTTACAATAGGTTAGAGGATCAGAGGGACGCGCTGGTATGGCCGCCATTTTGGATACGGAGAATACTTTGAATATTCAATCATTATCTGAAGGAATTAAGAAGCAATTGCCATCCTATGCACGTCCAATGTTTTTGCGAACGCTGACAAAACTTGATATGACTGGTAAGTTTAAAACATTGTGTTTTTTGCTATAATTATGTTAATAACCTCAAAATTTTAAAACAGGAACATACAAACTGAAGAAAGTGGATCTTCAAAAAGAATGCTACGATCCGAACGTGATTAAAGACAAACTTTACTACTTGGACGCGAAAACCGGCCAGTATCAGCCGCTCACGCCCGACGTGTTCGAGAAGATCAACAGCGGCGTCATAAGACTGCCGAACCAATAGTCTTCTCATTATCAATCAATTCAAAAATGAGCGAACTTTTCGCTGATTCAAACAAATTGGCGTCCCATTTCTTCTCCTGCAGTTGTTGGGTGACAATATCTTGGGACTCCTTGTATGCGCCGACTACGTTGGTGGATTTTATGAAGACCAAGTAGAGTAAACCTTCGTTAGGCTTCAAAGACATTGTGTAGCCGTATGATAAACCTTTACCACGCACTTGTTTCCATAAAGGACCCTGAAATAAATAAATAGCAAAAAAATTCAGTATAAATTATGCAAATAAAGAAAGAAAAAAAGAAAATCTTACCTCACACTGAATTAAATATTGCAAATAAAGCATCAATGCTGGATAGTCAGGATCATTAAAGTCTTTGATGCTTGGTGTGGCCTGATAGAAGAATGAAGATTCCAAACAACCCATGCCAATGATACAATTGGCTGGCGAGTCGGTTGCAAGGTTTTCCAAGAGCAATGAATAATCCGGTGTCACATGAAGTCTAAGCAATTAAAATTGAAGTAAAAAATCATTTTTAAAGTTAAAAATTGTGAAAATAAACGTACGGTTTTTGTGTCTGCAATTCATTAAGAGATTTCGGCAGGAAATCATCCAATAACTCAGCTGCACCATTAACCAAATCCACATTACCCGCACAATACAACACAACATTATCAGGAGAAGTGATTATTTTACGAATCGACTCGAATGTTTCAATCACAGATTTTGACTCGTCTGAATCCAGCTGCTCCAAGAGCTTGGTTAAGAAAGCATGTTGGGATAGAATACCATTTGCTTGAATGTTGCTGTCTATAACATATTAAAGAATAAATAATATTCAAATACTTTTCTTTGTTTATATGTATTATTACCTTTATTATAGATCATTGCTTTCATAGCATAGGCAACCATACTCCTGCCATTACGTTTCAACTGCGCAATATTGTTCGCCATCTTGTTAGCCATAATCTTCAGCACTTCCACATCAAAGACGGTTTCATACAGGAATTCTCGCAACCAAGCGATTCCTTTCGCATATTTAGCGCATTCCACTTGCACTGTAAGCGTGGCGGTTTGCGAATGCGGCCCAACTTTGAAAGAAGAAGCGTTGCCACCGCCTAAACCAATCGTCGCAGTCCAAGACACTAAATCAACGTTCATCTGAGCGATGACTTGATCCCTTGGTATGACTGTTTCACCGCGACGAATTGCTGACTCTTGAATGGTTTCGAGAAGAATCGGTAAGAACATACGTTGTTCTGCGTTTAATTTAGATGTATCCAATAAAGCAAACATCTAAACCGATAATTATTGTTATTATTTGATTATTAAGATATAAATAAAGACTTACATAAACAAAGTTGCTCTTAATGTGATCAAAATACGTGAATACAGGTGTTTTGCTCAAGTCAATCCTGGATTTATCCTCACTCTTCGACGAAAAACGTTCAATAGAATGGAAACTGATGCTTTTAACACTAGGTATAGGCACAGATTGCAACATGGAATCAGGAGGTGGGCGTTCGTTATAAGCGATTGCTTTCTCTAACATTTCATCCTTTTTCTTCAGGCCCTCTTCGCCTAAATCTTTAATTTGTTGTTCAATGCGAGCTTTCTCATCGCTTGCCATCGACGCTTGTTCTTGTATACTAGGCACTCCCTGAATCGCCAGCTGGATGTTATCGACAAAGTATTGTTTCAGTAATGAAACCCAGAAAGACTTCGGCTCGTCCAACATCTTTTTCAAATCAACGATTGGATTCACTCTTTGCTCCAACTACACAACAATAAACAAAACAATTTAATATTTAATATCATAAAACTATAAGAAATGTAATTACTTACATCTTCTTTGGTGTTTCCATACAACATGTGTCCAATCACCATAAAAGCCACAGTATGATGAGGATTGACTTCAACGCTACTCAAACTCTCCTGAATATGCCTGTTGATGACGTTTTTCATCTGCTCCATGTGAATATCCTCATCATCAGCAATTTGCTTCAAAACTTGGTCGAGTTTAGGCTTGACCAATGCCAATTTATTAGCCGGCACGTTGTGGAAAAAGAAATACACGCATGATTCAGCATTTTCTTGAATACTGTACGAAACTCGACTTGCATACGGCTCGGGTATTTCAATGAATTCTTTTTGTAAAGAACTGATTGATAAATCAGACAGATATTTCATGAGGATGCCAACTGCGGACAATGCATACTGATCGCCGACAGCGGGTGGACCACGCCAGGCGACCCCAAACATTCCGTTGTTCTCCTCATCGGATGGGTATTTAACTACCAGGTCTTCAGCAGTTTTAAATGGCGGAACTGGTTTTTGCCATGGACGGATAAATTCACCCCTGGGGCCTTTCGCGAGGATTTTATCCTCTAGTTTTTCTAATGCTTGGAAAACTTCTTCAGGTTTTATTTGACCAGTGATGATTAACTTGAGATTTTCAGGCCGGTAGAACTCCTTGTGATAATTTCGTACCTTTTATATTTAGAAAAGATAAGATAAAGTTAATTCTTAGAAAAAAATACGATTTTCATTGTTTACCTTAGTATTACTGCAACTTTCTCTCAAATTCTTCATGATTCCACCTGTTTCAGATGAATATCCACATTCACCAGGATAGATCTTCCTAGCCATGGTCAAATGCATTCTAGATTCAGCACTGTTTTCTCTTCCTTGCATTTCACAGTAGACTACTCCTGCATCTTCACCTTCTCCAGTAACATGATGGACTTCAGTCACAAATCCTTCATCCTTTAAATAATGGGGTTCATTTTGTGATAGGAGTCAAATTTTTTTGTTTAACTTACAGTCAGAATAGGGTATAAAATGTGATCAAGATAAATTGGTAGCAAAGTGAGGAAACCCTCACTGCCTGCAGTCTCCATGGTGTAGCAGGTGTGATCCACATCAGTCCATGCATTTGTACCAGAAGCCAAGCACCTGTTGGCTAGTAAATCAAGAACTCCTTTGTATGGATATTCCTCACTGCCAAGAAATACCAGATGTTCCAATGTATGAGGCAAACCATCATCATCCAATGCTTCAGTTACTAAATTTTAAGATAATAATTATGATTATTGATTTCTTAAGCTGTGATATTCATAGTCTTACCTAGGCAGAAGTACCCATTGACTATAGGCCCTTCAACTTCAGCAACAATCACAGTTAATCCCGTTTTAGTTGATTTGTACTCATGCAATGGGATTTTGTTGTAGGCTTTCAGTGAATATAGGTGCTCGAAACCAGAAGCGCTTTTGATGCCAGGTGTACTGTCGGTGGGCGGCATGATAAACTTTGGTATAATTAAGTAATTGCTAAGGAATATTCTCTAAAATATTAGGAAAATATTTGAAGAACACGCCGCTTCTCAGTAGCAGCCGGAATGAAACTGAATTTTGAAACTGTCATGTGTCATAATCGCCGGAATTAAACGGTCACTTGAAAAACATTTGTTATTAATTTTTATCAACGGGAAATGGGCTTATTGTAATCTACAAAGGTCTTTAATTTATAACACTGTATTATTGCCATAAATATTTTCGCAGAGTAATTGTTACACGTAGCTGATATATGAGAGGCTCATGTAGGCAACTCATAATACAAAATAACTTAATTTCTTTGAAAGTTCTTTAAGACTTAAATGATTAAAACATTATTTAGCAATAAACTGATACGTGTATATTATAATTTAATATTATTACAATTTAAAACTTAGTTTACTTGATTAGAATACTGCTTGCAAAGTTATTCAACTGTTTAAATTAATTAAATATACTTAAACACACACAAAAGTTAATTTTCTCTACTGCAGATGTAATTTGTATAACTTTCTGATAATTTGTTAATAAAATCGATCTTTTTTATAAATCTAAGTATTCTTTAACGTAAAACATTTAAGTGTCCTAAAGCTAAACAAATACTGAATCGATAGGCCGTGGTCGTTGAAGAAATAGTCGAAGATTCCTATCATAGAGGCAGGTATCTAGAATATGACCTCTGTCCTCTATTATCCATGTCTGATTCTGGTTTCAATACAGCCTATACCTGGGGAGGAGCTTAGTCGGCAGGTAAAAATACAAAATGCCTTCCAGTGAAGAAGGGTAGACGACTGGACAACCCCAGGCTGATCTAAGGTGCATGTGGAAAACTAGAACAAACTCAATTAGCAACTTAGGAAAACTTTGCTGAACAATGAACATTTTTATGACATTACCTGCTGTAAGACTCGGTTAATTAGAATCTGCAATTAGAATTCTAAATGTCTTATCGGTTTAGAAGTTATCATAAAGAATTCATGAGCTCAAGTCAATCTTGAACAATTTTGACCAATTAAATTTAAATTACTCAACAAATAAGGAGAAATAAAGATGATGAAGGTGCCCCTCAACTTCCTTGAGAAGATCCAGTCGTTAAAATTGTAAATTTCACTCTCCTTCCACTGTTATCACCAACAATAGGAGCAACTGGATTAACTACTTTCAAAGTTAAGTTTAATTAGAAAAAAAATTAATTAAGACATCAGTATCATGTAAAATAAGACTCACCAGATACTAGATTACCCTTAGACGGTGTTCTGAAACATAAATTGTAAACTAAAACACAGTTTTAAGCAAATATACCTGAAATTCAAATGTTTTTAACTTGAATCATTGTGCAATCAATTTAGAACCTCTTTTTTGAAGCAACTGCACATAAATATTTCACTTTAACTATTACTTGTCCTTATTATACCTTCACACAAATGAAACACACTTCAAAATAACCCTGAAAGGCTTAAAAAACAAAACAAACAGCTTTCAACACCCCTCATTTGAACAACCAAACTATGCATGCTTATAAAAATCTGTACAAACCAAACCAACTCAAACCAATGCATTGAGCACTTAGCCAAGGTCCTAAATGATAAATCCAATCCAGATTTTCTAGGTTCTGAGTTGTAATTAAGCCGTGGGGGCCCTCAACAATGTTGCAAGTAGTGTGCAAGTTGAGGTTCTGTGTATTCACGTTGATCACAACATCCACAAACCGCCTCGACACAATAAAAACATCGATATCGATAGTTTTTGAGCTGATCTATCGATTGGTGGCCTTAGATTGGCAGGAAACTCAGCAGGAAAGTCGTGATTCACTTGCAAACCCACCTGCTACACTTGAAAAACGACACCGTCGCGAAACTTTCGAATTAAAGCGGTTTTCATGGAGCTAACACTTGCTGGGGTGTATTCGACGACGAGGATCACGATTCTGCACACAGATTTCACTTCTAAGGTGTGATTGATGAGAAATTCACGAAAATGTGTTTTGCCGCCGACGGTTTTTTTTTCATGTCATTCACGTAACCGCCAGAAATTTTCATCGCGATTTAAACCCAAACCCCACTATGAATCGGCTCGTGCGATACCTCATTTTGAAACGCGCGCGATTCTTTACTCTTTGATGTAACTCTCAGCCGATTTCGTTAATTTTTTTGCGAAATAATTTTTCTGCCATAAGAGCTCCATATAAAAGAATTCAATTCTTTAAAATTTTATTGTGGTCGATTTACAGCAGCTAGAAGTCTCAAAGCGGTATCAAAAATCATAGTTAAAATTCTAGTTTATTTTTTCTAAGTTAGATTGATCACAAACGGCCTAATTAAATTTTTTTTAATTTTTTTTGCTAATTACCCCCACCAAAAATCAGGTTTCTATAAATTGCGGAACTTCGGCGGTTGATCTTTCTTTCTAATTTTGCGATTATCGGGTGCGTATCGTGCGTGTCAGTATTCATAGCGGGCATCCGAATCAAAATCTAACCTCACTAAAGTTTTAACAGTTGGTAACCCATAAAATGCGCTCGTCAACGCGTCATTTTTTCACACTGATACCAACCGCAACCTCAAAGTTGAAGTTATACTAAATCAGTGCATACTAAATCAAATCGGTGAGTGTAAATAACTAACAGCTAACACAAATAATTCAATATTTATACATTTTAAAATAATTATTTCTATTTTTAGAATATTCCTGAACGCAAATAGCTGACATTCATAGAGAAAACTGATAGTTTGGAACAAATTCATCGAAGAAAATGGAAAACAATTGTTCAAGTAAGTTATATTTTTCAACATCAAAACAAATAATAACCTGCACATATATTTTAATTAATTATTTAATTTTTTAAAAGTTTCAAGAACCAGAATAACTGCAATTCTACTGATATTAGCTGACTGATAGTTTGAATCCAATTCGTCAATGAAATGAAAATCAGTTGTTGAAGTAAGTTTTTTTTTACTATAAGACAAATAATATTTGGTTCATATGTTTTAAATTAATTACTGCAATTTTTAGGAATTTTAAGAACGTGAATAACTATTGTTTTGTAATGAAATATAATCTATTATTACAACTACACATCAATAGGAAGGAAACTGCAGTTATTTAAGTAAGTTTTTTCTTAATTTCAACATTCCACTTCAATAAAAATGAATTGCACTTAATATAAATAACTAAATACTAATATTCTTTCATTGTTTTAGTTCAACAACAATTTAAACAAACCTTGTTAAAATCTCACAGTTTTGGAAAGAAAGCCAAGTTAATGAAAGATGGTACCCTGTCGCCTACCTCTGATGTAAACTGGACTCTCATGATGCCAATTGGAATTTCCTGCCCCAAACTGGACGAGATGTTGCTTGGATGAGGACCAATGGACCAATATAAACCTTTTTATCAACGCATCCTCCTGCGAGATGTGAGCTGTTATCTCGAGGAGCTGGATTAAAGTAGGTAGTGGTGATGCCCATGATCAGAAGGCTGGCGTAGCCCGTCACTCTTGTATCTGGGGGTGGCGGTTGAAACCAGTACTTGGTCATTCGGCTAATCCAACCAGCATTGCTAGAAACGCCGGATGTCCATAAAGCAGTGAGTTTGTTTCTTCTTATCGTGTACGTGCACGAATATATTTGAATCGCGTTTCGCGTCAAGTGTTACCGCGAACACTTTTTGCTTAAATTTGCATCAAATTCAATTAATTAATTAATAATTATTAATTACTTATTCATTACAGTAGTTTATTTTAATTTTATTATTTTTATACTTAATTGTTAATTACATGTTCACGTGAACATTTTATTAAAAACTTTGCTTAAATTTCAATCGAATTCCGTATTAACGTACATAGAATCAATCGGTCAACACACACACACACACACACACATACACTATAAACACTCACATTACACTTTTGCTCGGTTCGTTTCGGCGAATGCGGAGTTTTTGGGTATTTGGTGTGTCTAGGCACACTTATTTACCTTACATTCTCAACACAACACTTACACGTTCTGTTCACGCAGAACACCACAAATTAACACAAATTAATTCAATGCAACGCGCGCGGCATTTTGAAGTAGAGATTTGCACTCTGCTTGCAAATTAAGTATGAATGGCATGCCTGTTGAATGAATTGTTTATATTTTTGGTATGATTGTGTTGCACTGTATTGTATTTCATTTCATTTGTGTATGTCG